ATTATACCTATACATACAATTATTAAATACGTTTATATTTAAGAAAAAATTAAAATCTTCAGTTTATGGTAATAATTGAGTGATAAGGCTACAGGATCGACATATATTTTTTAGAATAACATTTTCATATTACATAAAAATACAAATGGAATGAATTATTAAAAAAAGAAAGAAAAAGTCTTGAAACAAATACATTGTAAAAAAAAAAAAATGTGTACTAAAATCGTTAGTCATCGTTCATCAAAAATGTTATTTCAATATCACTCAATAATATTATCACAAATATTCGAATGTTTAAAAATATATAAGAAATTATTTTATATATGCCCATAGGACAAAAAAATTGCTGACATAAATTACAAGTTTCCGTGTTAATATAAAAATGTAGTATTCATGTTCAACACATAGAACTGAATTAATGAATGCTCCTTGAAAATAACCGTAATTTAAAAATATATGCAATTTTTTTCACATGAGAAAACCTCTATAAGACCAATGAAATAAGAGCCGTACCAGGTTTATGTTTAATGCACTTATAAAAATTGAAAAAATCACATAACATTTAATCGTGTTCTCAGTAGAAATAATATAATATTATAAATGCGGACCTACAGCAAGTTGTAACATTCGAACGACCTTCTCTTTTTATAACAATATTATATAGCCGGCATCGCCTATAAAAATGTCTTCACATTCGGCGTACGTAAACAAATAACAGATAATATATTTATATATTTATATATATATATAGATACTTTTAAAATTGTTTATTATAATATTATATATTATAATGATGTATATACTTTGTCGGGCCGACAGCGATAATATCATACACGTGTGGGCGACCCCAAGCTCTGCGATATGGCATATTATATACATTGAATGTTCGTGGATAGACAGTAGTAAAATACGAGCATATTCATTAGATTAACGTGTATAATATGTGCGTTGGCTCCTTCACAGCACTAAGCCAATTACCATAAACACACACGAATCTGTCTCTGCTCGATGACAGTGTGTTCTTCGAAGACGGCTAATATGCATTTTCCGTGTTCGCAAATTAGAAAAGCGGATATGATACGATAAATGCTATGAGTATAAAATGTTAGTAAGTTTCAACGGTATAGCAAATAAAAACCATGTTTGAGTCAGCATTACGGCAACAGGCAAACGTGCGCGACTGGCATTCGAGTTATTTCTTCAAAACAAAATACCTATTAAATTATCTATACTTCTACTTATATAATATTATATTCCATTAGATTTGATGAACAATTAAATGATAATTCTAGCAGAATCCGTTTCAAAGTATTTCCGCCACGCCCGAGCAATTTATTAGAAAATACTTGTGGTTAAAAATAATATTAATAATAACAAAGATGATTATCAAAAATAATTCATCGTAGAACATTTCACGTTGACCACTGTTCACTAGATAATTATTTATTCCTCATTTTTTTCCCTTATATAGTTTATTAATTATTTCTCAATCTATTTTACAATTTTACAATTGGCTTAAGAACATTGAAATTTTTTTCGGTCTTCCTATAAATATTGCACATTCAAAGGGCACCTAAATAATATTAATTTTACTATTTTTAAATTATCAACTATAAAACTTAATAAAAAAAAAAAAAAACTTTGGGTTAGAAAACGAATAAAAATAAAATAGATGAATAGGATAATAATTTTAAAAAAAATTAATAAGTACAATAAGTATATTTGTACATGTATTTGTATGTTTATCATGCAATGAAGCATTATATTATAATGTCGGTTAGTAATACATGTTCTTTTTAAGTATTTTAAACACATTTTCACACCTAAACCCCTTTGATTTTTTTCTACATCCCGTCCCTAAGTTATATTTTTGAAATGGAACAATAGGAGTTCGACGAGTGCCTGGCACGCCCCTCGTTTATGTTCTATTCTTTTAAAAAGGGGAAATATTTTTCGCACTTCATCTTGCTGACAAGCGATTAACGAGTTACTAGCAAAACATGCATGTACAAGTGAAGAATTTTGGTTGTATTTGTATACAATAAAAAGTACTTTGGTACTTTGGTTTTTTTTTTTGTTTTACTACACATAGAATTCACGGCTCCTGGATGGTACCGCTGAAGAAGGGGAAAGACGATGGTGTAGTAAAAAAACGACCGAAAATAATCGACCGTCAGACGCGTTTTGGCGCAGTTACAAGAATAAAAAAAAAAGACAGCAAAACGAATAATAATATGTTCGATTAAAGGGAATGCTTTATCCAATTCGGCCGCAAAATATACAAATGTCTTTCTATACATAATGGATAAAAATCGTTTTAAACAATAATATAATTTAAAAGGAAAACAACGTTTAATGGTTATAAAAAGTTATTAAAAGTTCAAATTTAATTTTTATTAAAATATTAGCTATTATTTAAAACATATTAATGAAAAATAAAGATGATATAACATTATAAACCATAAATGCGTTGTAAGAATTAACAATAAAAATATTAAATTAAAATAATTTATTTTGGATTTTATTACAAAATTAATAATTGAGAATTACTATGATAATATCAAATATGCATTTTATAATGTACACCTGTATGTCTATATTGTACCTACTTAAATCGAAACCGCATTATTAAACGTTACTAATATTTTGTAAGTTCATCGAATAAATAATTTAACGTAACCAAATAACGTAGGTAATATACTAATATTAAAGTAATATGTTACCTATATCATAGGTGAATTATTAAAATATTAAAAAATCAACAAATTATGTCAACTTATAAGCTAAATGTTAATTTAACTATGTATTTTTATAAAAGAATAATGATTATTATAAATTAGCGCAATGTGTACAATATATTATTATTCATGTAGATAAACAATACTCAATAGCCATACTATGATAAATACAATTTAGTCCAGAAAATGATTATAAATTAAATACAAACACAGAAATCAGTATGTATTATTAATTATTAATCTATTGAATTGGTTCACCCACGTAAAATAATATAGTTTTTCCAATATTAATAACACGAGTAATTGTGTACTTTATTTATTTTACATTTATTAAATTAATTTAAACTATGTTCTAATAAATAAACTGTATTAATATTAAGATTTTTAAAACGATATTATATGAAATTTTAGATGAATTTACAAAAAAATAAAAATGGTATTTTATGTACATTAATTTGTTTTTATCTTTTCTATAACTGAACCGATATTTGTGAAATATAGTTGGGACTTTTTCATAACAATAAATCATACTGAAAATTTAAAACTTCAACCGAAATTTTTCTGAATAATAATTTTTAGCTAGAATTTGAGTTTCAACCTTGAAAACTGTTTTTAGTAAAAATAAATAAGAAAAGATATGTTAACTCGTGAACAAATTTCGATTAAATTAATTAATTTTTTTGTTTTTAATTATTCGATATCTTTTAGTTTTCATATAAAATATGCTGTTAAAAATGTTGCACGCTTTACACTAAAATACAAATTGTGTTAAAACTGTTAATAAAATTGTAACGATTTAATTTTAACTTTGTTTAAGATACTATAAAAATTAAAAAGAAAAACTATACCTACATGGAATTTAAATGCAATGTCTTTGTCTATGTAGAAGGAACAAGCGATGTACATCGTTATTTGTTGTGCCATGTGGTTTTGAAGTGAACCCACCCACTATATTAAGTCATTAAGAGATATTTCTCTACCTTCCGATACAAACATTTTTCTCCACAACATATATAATTTTAATCCGATTATGTCAAAGATTATTATAATACTTTTTTTAGGTGATTTTATAAATAATTGCTACTATCTTTTTATAAAAAACTAATACACACAAGTTATTACTTTCTTTTATTTTAAAGTTCAGTATTATTTATGAGAAGGTATCTCATGCTTATTGTATAAGAATAATGGTATTGTAATTTAATGATTTAGTTCATATTATTTTAGTATACCTATACCTCGGCCTATACACTATAAAAACAGGAAGGTATTTAATTTAGATGAAAATGAATTAACTAATTTTGAAAAGTTTGTATCGTTTATAAAAATTAAAAAATGACTTCCACTCAATTTATACGTGGGTATATAATATTAAATTAAAATTGTATTGTAAAACGTAAAATTAATTTTTTTTTTTTTTAATCAGTTGCGTTAAATGGTACTTTTTAATTAAACAATTTAATAACTCAAACAAACAGTAGGTACTTAGTTTACCGGCGCGTAACACGATATATTTACGAGCAATCTATCGTACGAAGGTTTATATAGTTATGGGACGTATGAGTACATTCGAGATAAACATAAATACGCATAATATTTATATCAGTTTAAATAAAGTATTTTACACGCACGCACAAATGCAACTCTGCAGATTTGACTATAAGTATAACTGTATTTCCTACATCGGTGCTGGGAAAAAATCAGAAAAAAAAATCGTACAATAAGATCATCGCGTTATAATATTCACACATTATAACACTTGGCCGTCGAAAAATTCAGATTCCACAAAGAAATCTTCACCACACGACGTTTATCGAGCACAATACACGTACTTCTACCCCGCCGCGTGAATACGACGTTATCGCAAAATATGCTGCGAATGCATCGACGAGGGGGGACAGAGAAAAAAAAGGCTCCTTGTGCTCCGCCGGATGGTGAACATTACCCCACAGAATCATTATCGAAGTCAACTGGACACGGCGATATCGCGAAGAGACATAACCGGTTTTTGTCCGAGATCGGAGCCACTGCACACAATGCCGTCCATATTATGCGTACCCTAAGTACGAGAGACCTGCTACAAAACATTCGCGGTCTCTACGACAAGTCTCAAGATGTCTGAATCGTTTTTCGATGCGGTTAGAGTGTAAACAACATGCGCTTAACCGTACCCGACCGTGTTTTCGCGATCATTTTATTTTTGTTTTTGCACCTGCGTGCAGCTAAACGGTATTATACAAATACGAAATAAATGCGACTCACTCTTGTGGTGTCTGACGTGCCGCGGACGGACGCAACAGGGCTGTTCGAAGTAAGCGGCGAAGAAATTGTCGACGACGGACTCGTGTTCGGCCGCCAACAGCGACGCGGCGGCAGAACCGCTCGCATCGTCGATGGCCCACGACGTCGCGGTCGGTCCGTGTTGGGCGAACAAAAGCGCAAATAGCAACAACCGGACGGCGGCGGTCGCCATCCATTTTTTGCGCATTTTCCCCGTCGGCAGGGTCTTTATTACTGTCGTCGGCTCACTCGTTATTCAAAAACACAAATTGATTTAATGAATTCGCGACGAAAAAACGACAACAACAACAATAATAGTCGGCAACAAAACGACGTAAACTCGAATCGCACGCACTGCGAGTTTTTTATCGTGCAAAAATCCTACATCGGAAAGTCAACTTTTATTTTTTTTTCGGCGTGTTCGCGCGCATTACAAATCGACGAAATTGTATAGCCTAGCTCACACCAGGCCGAACAAACGCCAAAAACGCACTGAACTCGAACCGCAAGACACATGCGTGACACGAACGAACGTAAGACGATCGGAATCGGCGGCAAGGACGGTAACGACGCCGCGCGGAAGACGATACAACACTACGACAGCGCAACCGGACGCCGAATGGTCGAGGGTCGGTCGCGGTCTCCGGGCCGTGGCGTCGGCACGAGGAACGTTCGGCTGCGATCGTTCGTCGTCGGCACCGGTCGGTCTGTCGCCGTTGTACTCGCTGCACCGCGAAGAGGGTGCCTAAGTATAATAATATTCTCTACTACCATGGTGTACAACCGCGGTAGTGGGTGAGAGTGTTATAATTTTTCTTCTTTTGGTACAACCCGGTTGTCGGTTTATAATATGTCCGGGTACGTTCAAGTAGTTCTATCCTGTATGGTGAGACATTTGAATATTTTACGCTGTTGACTAATATCTATATGGATTACAATATTAATACTGTAGTAATAACATTGATTATATTTTTATTACTTTTAACCAAGGTGAACGTAATTCGAGTTTCATTTGTTTTGACAACGTCACTTACTTACGTCATAGATTATTGTCTTGGACATTTTTCATCAAACAATAGGTAGTATAAATTCAATTAAAATCGTTCGTCACAAAGTTTTATTGGTTTTCATCTCACTAATAATATATTTTTCGTTTAAAGCTTTCAAGCTGATACGTTTTTATATTGATAGAAAATTTCGGTTGATTGCATAAAAAAAAGTTTTATAAATCAAAAGTTGTGTTATCTGACACAGATGTACCAACGATTCATACGACTTTGTGAAACATCTGGTTTCAGTAAGAACCCATAGAAAATAGAAACCCATTAGTGTCAATAATAGCAATTAAAATGTTTAAATTATATTTTCAATTACTAATAATATTTTTTAGAAATTGATTTAAACATTTTTTGAATGATTAAAATTATAAAATGTTTATGTTACACTGAATTATAGAAAGGTTTTTGTTATAAACACGTGAGTACATAAATAGATACTCTTAAGCCTGTACACTATCTGTTAGAACATTATTTTAATGGTTTATCTTTTACAGGAATGAGTTGTATATGAATAGACGACTGTTGTAGAGTAAAGTTAAAAATTTGAAAATTTAAAAAATTTGTCCAATGAATTTGTAAGTATAGATTGTTAATACATTCTACAATATTTAACAGTTCTTAAAATATTTTTTGAATAAACTCTAGTGGAATTTCTCTTGAAACTTTCTTAAGAGGACAAGTATTTTGACATTCTACATTATTCTTCCTTTAAATTCGAAAATATATTGTATATAATATAATAAAATTAATGTTGTCATGTAAATTGAAATTATGTTTTTTATAAAATACATCCATATGCTAATATGATTACCTACGGGTATTCATAATGATATTTGATATGTTTATATTTATCATCTAATAATTTTCGTAAGTAAATTATGATAAATAAATTAGTTTCAACGTACTTTTAATTGTTTATTTTCATTAATAATTATCCATAAACATTTAATATCATGCTATAAAGTTACAATTTTAAATTTTAATTATCAACTGTATCAAAACGTTTATATTTATTTTTATACTTTTAGAGTAATATTTAATCTGTAGGTAAAATAGTCTTAGATATTTTCTTGTAAATTTTGAAAGAACATTTAGGGTTGTTTTTGACATAGAATTTCCACTAGAATGCTTTTTAAAAATTAATATTCGTTTAAAAATTGAACAGTATATAATATTCTTTAAAATTGTTTCTCATGCATAAAAATAACTTATTATATTATAATATCAACATTTAGAACACATAGATCAAAAAATAAATACATCAATATTAAACATTGATTAAATGAACTTTATATTTTATCTATAATGTTGTTTCTCTTAATTTAGTACTATTTTACTATTGAAATAATAAGTAATACGGCAATCATATTTTGAAATACTAATGTTGTTTTAAATTTTTTGTTGGTGAAAGTGTTAATATTTGTCTAAAAAACAATTAAACTCAACGTAAGATATATATATATAAATTAATAATTATTATATTTGTACTTGTTACATGTATAATTGAATTAAATAAGTACTTAAAAAACATAATGTAGCTACGTCTTGACAACAAAATGTCCAATTTTTGTTAGCTTAGGTATTTATCTGATGTTAATTTTAATAAATATGATAAAATAAGACGTAGGTACAATATAGGTAATCAATATAAAAATCATAATTAATGATCTTTAAAATTGTTTAAAGTTGTAAGTTATATTCCAAACAAAAAAAAGAAGATGATGTTTATTTTTAGTTAAAATATTATTAAAGAGCAACAATTCACTATAAATTTGAGAAAATATAAGTAAATTGTACAGATAAAAAATAATTTAATTGTAGTTATAACTGAAGTAAAGCTAGAAAAATTAAATTAAAAATGTTTGTGCAAGATTATTCAAATTGAACATTTGAAAGAATTATTAAAATATAAGATTCGTATAATGACTAAATAATATTAACTTTAAAATTAAATTACAGAAATTATTTTTATTTTAACTTTTCTAAGATGTATTATTTTAGTAGTTTATATATATACAAACAATATGACGCGTGTAACTAACAATAAATAAACCTCATGAATTATCTTTAAAAAAATCAAAATCTGTATTTAATACAAATGACTTGTACTTTTTAAATAATAATACATTATTTCAATAAATATTAAATAACTATTACCATAGTAACTAATAAGATATAATACGATATCATAGTGACTGTATACTTTCTTTATTAGGGATATTATTTTTATGATATCCAACAGGTGCTTATGTGCGATGCTTAAGCTAGTGTCCGTTATTGAAGAGTATTAAACTTTTAAAAGTTGCACATTAACTAATATTTAATCGTAAATATATTGAGAGTGTTAAGTATATAAATAGATCTCTGGCATTTATTTATAGTTTTTAATAATAAACAGTATCCAGTCCGTCAGAACAACATTGTTAGTCATTTTAGTTTATCGACTATTGCTTGTCATTTTATAACTTGGACAGGGTTCTAATCATTTATCACAATCATTTTAAATGTATTATCCGCCTTATGGGCGCCCAATATGTTCGAGGGGACAGTTATTGTTGTTGCTATTTCATCCAGTAGTATATAGTTTATTACATTACATGGATTGCGCTTTGGAATGGATTTCGAAAATATATATTTTTATCGAATCTTATATTTAGGGTTATGGTTGGTAAATAATATTAGAGTTCGTTGTATATTGATACACTTAGAAAATATTTTTGCGAATTACATAATATTACATTCTCTAATTTGTAGTAATCATGCACCAGCACATGGTTTTTAAATCACCCATTAAATAACCGTAAACGTTCAATTATTATCTAGCAATATCACTGTAAACATATAGAAAGTTTTGTAGACGACTGCAGCAATATGTGATTGTGTATGTGAACAAAAAGTATTACGTATATATTCCAATAAATGCATCGTTATTAGAAATTGTGTCTGAACAATTATTCGGATTTTGTGCAATGTACCTATTTTTGTTCCACCGCTACAGCGATAATATATACAGTTTTATCTGTCGGGCGTACAAAACTTTTGGAATCGATGACCGAACTACACGATCATTTCCAGTCGCACTATTTTGTTCTTTAACATATGTATTCATGCAATTTGTCCGCCTGGTTTTCCTTCCGCGCGGTGTGGTGTGAACGCGCAATAAAGTCCCGCGGTGACTCGGAGCGCAAGTTGTAAACTTTACTATTTATCCAGTACGAACGCGACTATATTATTATAATATACGTCATATAATTTTGTATGATATGTGTGCCATATACACTTCCATTGGCCGACTCTCTTATCCTGTAACGGTAATAATTCAAATGTCCGTTTCGCACCTTGCAGCATTTGTGGCGGCGTTGGCGTGGTGCGTATAACCTCGTGATAATTATCGTCTGCCGCTTTTCCCTCCACTGGGAGACCGCAATACTCTCCAAGCGTGTGTGTGTGTGTGTGTGTGTGTGTGTGTGTGTGTGTGTGTGTGTGTGTGTCTGTGTGTGTGTGTGTCTGTGTGTGTGTGTATGTGTGTGTGCCACGAACATATGCACACAAATCCCCTCCCATATCCACCTCCTCATCATCACATCCTCGGACGGCTCTATAGACGACTCCCTCGGTTTTGGGCAGGTCGGCCCATTAATCTTGTGGAATTTCACGGCACGTCATTCGCAGTGTGTAATAATAATAATAATAATAATAATAATAATAATAATAGTAATAATAATATATCCGAGCCATGGCATTCCGATCGCGAACGCACATCTACATCCGAAACGTGTATCCGACTGGAGTCATTATTGGAGTTTTCGGGGTTTTTATTTTGACCGCACTCGACATACGTGTATGTGGCGGTAGAACTATTTAACGCGAGCTCGTTGAAAACGGAAAATAAAAATAAATATACATTTAAAAAATAAAAAAAAGACATAAATCCACTGCTGAGTGGTTTTTACGCCATCACACTCGGGGTACAGAAATTTACGATCTGGAACCATTGCACACATCTAGAAAGTGTGATAGATGGATGGTGGATACAATTTAGGAAAAAAAAAATTCTGACCGAAATAGGATATGGTGTTATAGTGTTACGCCACCGGTAGATTTGTCTCGGTTTTCGCAAATAGTCTTGGAAATGGACAGAAATACATTGAAAATATATACAATTACCTCAGATAATGATTTAGATAGAAGGGTGCTTTTATACAAAGATTTTCAATTAATCTGATTAAAACCGTGTTCAAACTTAATGTGCCGTTGTTAAAAATTGGCATATTGCACGGATTGTGTTATAAATCCTAACGCTGCTATAGAAGTTTAAAATATTGCTTTCATTCATCTAACGTAAGTAATAAGTATATTATATTAAATTTAAATTTAAAATTACAAAAGGTCTATTAAGAATAAGTGAATGCATATTTTGTATTATTAATTCAAATTAAATATATCAACAATCAACACTACATAATGATTTATATTATTTAGATATTATTATTACTAGTGTGCTGCGTGTATATACATAATATTAGAAAAAAAAAATTAAATTTT